CATGGCCATTTTGGTGGTGGGTAAGTGATGGTCTGGGGAGGCATATCCATCGAGGGACACACAGACCTTTACAGGCTAGACAATGGCACCCTGACTGCCATTAGATATCAGGATAAAATCCTTGCACCCATTGTCAGACCCTACGCTGGTGTAATGGGTCCCGGGTTCCTCCTAGTGCATGACAATGCCTGGCCTCATTAGGCAGTTCCTGGAGGATGAAGGAATTGATACCATTGAATGGCCCCCACACTCGCCTGACCTAAATCCAATAGAACACCTCTGGGATATCATGGTTCGGTCCATCCAACTCCGCCATGTTGCACCTCAGACTGTCCAGGAGCTCAGTGATGCATAATTTTTTACTTTGATTTTCGGGGCATTTTTGAATTCAATCCTTTGTTGGTTGATAATTTTCATTTCCATCAAATGATGGGGCATCCTTACATTCCTAACACATTACCCAGTCCATATCAGTATAGATATCCAGCATGATATTTTTCCTCACTGAGATCTGATGTGTTTTCAGTGTTCCTATAATTTTTTTGAGCAGTACATACTGTATATATATATATATATATATATATATATATATATATATATATATATATATGTTGTTTGTTTTTTTTTGTCTATAAATGCTATAGAAAATAAAAACATATTTCCAAGAAAGTATTGACAAAAGAAAGTCTAGTTTGCCAACCCCCTCCAACAAACGTTTTACCTATTACTTTTCAGTTTTGGAAGCTGCCATCCTGGACTCTTTTGATCTGCAGTTGCCATGGGTGCTGCACATGTGATCATTTATGATCCCAGCCATTAGATGGTTTGACAGTTTGGTTGATAGTACAGGCAAATGTGACCGTTAGCATTCATGGCATATCTTGAAAGTAACTATTTTTGTAACCAATTAAATCAGTGGATTTAGTTCTGCTTTAAGTATTTATTATTATTATACATTATATAGCGCCAAAATGTTTGCTCAGCGCTGTACATTATAGTGGGGGACAGTACATGAGACAATACAGTAACAAGACAAAACATGAGGGATTCGAGGGCCCTACTCTTTCGAGCTTAAAATCTAGGAGGGAGGGGATAGTGGTACAGGAGGAAGTGGCTGTTGGGGATGGAGTAGTAGGAGGAGTGTAGAGTGTAGATCAGCAATTAGGTGAGGGTGGGGTAGGCTTCCCTGAAGAGATGGGTTTTCAGGGTGCGCTTAAAGGTGAGGAGGGAAGGTGACAGTCTGATGGATTGGGGTAGAGAGTTCCAGAGGATGGGGGAAGTCCTGGAGAAGTTCTGCAGTCAGGCGTGAAAGGTGGAGACCAGGGAGCAGGAAAGTAGGAGGTCTTGTGAGGAGCGAAGATTACGGGTAGGGTGGTATTTGGGTATCAGGTCGGTGAGATAGTTTGGGGCAGCTTTATGAATGGCTTTGTATGTCAGTGTTAGTAGTTTGAATTTAATGCTTTGGGCAATTGGAAACCAGTGGAGGGATTGGCAGAGGGGGGTGGCGGATACGGAGCGGTTAGTAAGGTCAATGAGTCTGGCTGCTGAGTTCAGGATAGACTGAAGCGGGATAGTCTGTGATGAGGTAGGCCAGTGAAGAGCGAGTTGCCGTAGTCGAGTCGTGAGATAATAAGGGAGTGAACGAGTTGTTTAGTAATGTCTGGGGTTAGGAACGTACGTATTTTGGAGATGTTGCGGAGATGGAGCCTGCATGAGTTTGCAGTTAAGTAGTTTGAAGTTATCTACAGTTTTAGCTACATTAACACTACTCATTTTGAAACTAACACTGGTTATAACAGAAAAACTCTTCATTTGATTTTTTTTGTCTATAGAGTACTGTATATACAAAATAAAAAAATTATTATTTTTGCAAAACGGTATTGCCAAAAGAAAGTCTAGTTTAATGCTGAAAAAATAGGCCAACAGCAGAGATGTAAACACTGCTCAAGTCAATAAGGATATAAATGTACAAGAACTGTAGTTAAGTAGTTAAAGCAGAACTCTCTGCAAAACTATTATTGTTTACATACATTCATCATGTGTATTCTTAGTTGAATCTTGACGTGTTTTGTGTATTTCTTCCAGATCTGTGTAGTAATCCAGTGTAAAACTTTACCTCTGTGCAGGAGCTTCCTGTAATAAAATCAGTCACTACTATTCTCTCTCCTTGTGCAAGGTCACTGGTCTTGAATCCACTCCTTCTGTAGTTTTCTGTAGGCAGCCTGTAGTGGGTGGAGCCTGCCCACAGCTCTAATCTCTGTACAGGCTGTGTACAACACAGTGACGATGTCACCACTACTTTCACAAGAGAATATCTCGGTTTGTAAAAGTATGCCATGCACACAAATAGGATATGTAACCTTTGCAGATATTAAGAAATCTATTTGAGTGAAAGTATTTGTGCCTGAAGTTTAACTTAACTGTGCTACTGAACCAGAACTACAAATCTGGAATAGAAATACACATAAAAGAAGAATCATATGTTTTATTTATTTATTTCAGGTACTTGCAGTATATAGCACCGTCAATTTACGTAGCGCTTTTCATATATATTGTACATTCACATCAGTCCCTAACCCACAAGGGCTGTACAATCTAAGGTCCCCAACTTACATACACATACTAGGGCCAATTTAGACAGGAACCAATTTACCTACTAGCATATCTTTGGAGTGTGGAAGGAAACCGGAGTACCTGGGGGAAACCCACGCAGGCACAGGGAGAACATGCAAACTCCAGGCAGGTGGTGTCGTGGCTGGGATTCCAACCAATGACTCTAGTACTGCCAGGCGAAAGTGCTAACCATTTAGCCACTGTGCTGCCCAATTATAACTGTATTTTGCCTGGAATTCTCTTGTAATAAACATCCACTTATTTATGGTCTTGTGATTCAAACACCTTGGCCTCTTTGCACAGCCAGGAAGAGCCCTCTGTTTTTCCGCTTTGCAAAGAGGTGCCAACGTTACATAGTTAGTCTGGCTGAAGAAAGACAAAAGTTCATCTAGTTCAACCATAAAAAAAAAATATTATAATTCTAATACTATTCCCACCATTGATCCAGATGAAGGCAAAAAAAACCCAGCAAAGCATAATCCACTTTGCTCCTGCAGGAGAAAAAAAATCCTTCCTGATCCCCAGAGAGGCAATTGCATATTCCCTGGATTAACTTTACCTATAAATGTTAGTATCCAGTTATATTATGTGGATTTCGGAATCCAGGCCTTTTTTAAAGCAATCCACTGAGCTGGCCAGAACCAACTCTTGAGGGAGTCTATTCCACATTTTCATAGTATTATCCAATGAACAGGCTGGAGGCAGAGAGGCAACACATGCATTGTGGCAGACATGTAACTTACATGGCTGGCTGAAAGAAATTACAATTCTTGTGGCAGGTAAATATATATGTATTTCAACTGTGTATTTAGATTTTTGCCTGGAGTTCTGCTTTAACCACTACTGGGTGGCAGGGTGTGAAAAATCACGTAAATGTATACATGATTTTGCATTTCCGGGTAGGGGCGCACACAAGCCACGTGTGCACCCTACCCACGTTGCTATTCGCTGTCTCAGCTGTCAACCAGGTCCCGGCCGGTGATTACTTGCTGGCACCCGGTAATCGCTGAGCATTACCAACGGGGGGGAGAAAACGGTAGCAGAGCCATACAAAGCAGTGTGCTTACAGTTGAAAGCAAACACATAGTTTACAGTAAAACAGCACAAGGCACACAGTTAACCCTTTGATCGCCCCACGTTAACCCCTTCCTGCCCAGTACCATTAGTACAGTGTCAGTGCTTTTTATTAGCACTGATCACTGTAGTAGTGTCAGTTCCCTCCAGTGTCAGAATGCCCGCTGCAGTCCCGCAGCCCCGCTATAAGTTGCTGATCTCTGCCATTACTATAAAAAAAAAATCCCAGTGTATATACTGCTATTTGTAAATGCTATAACGTTCACGTAAACCAATTAATTTACACTGGATTTTTTTTAGCAAAGACATGTAGCAGTATACATTTTGGCCTAAAATTATGACGAAATTTGATTTTTAAACTTTTTTTACTGGACATGTTTAATAGCAAAAAGTCAAAATTATATTTTCTCAAAATTGTTGGCCATTTTTTTTATAGCAAAAAATGCACAGGCAATCAAATACCACTGAAAGAAAGCTCTATTTGTGGGAAAAAAAGGACGTAAACTTCATGTGGGTGCAATGTTGCATGACCGTGCAATTGTCAGTTAAAGTAAAGCAGCGCCGTAACCCAAAAAATGGCCTGGTCAGGAAGGGGGGTAAATCGTCTGGAGGGCAAGTGGTTAAAAAATTTCATATGTTTTTGAAAGTGTTAGGCTACAATTACATGGGTAGGCATATAATTTGCTGAATTCAGAGGTGGCTAAACACCACAACAACACCCTGTGCTATGGCTGCATATGAACTGGCCAATTAGCCAATTACAGTCAGTTTGTGTGCATCCAGAACTCTGCAGAAATGCCAGTCTTGGGTGCAAAGGGTCAAATCAGATGAGATGTTCCTCTACATTCCTAATAGCAGTGGCTATGGCCATTGATTTGTACAGAACACAAATCTGACAGCTGCCATTGACAGCTAATTTCCTGTGCAGCCACATGAATTTGTCCTAATTCCAATTAAAATGATTTTTTTGTATAGTTTTGGGTACAGTGGAGAATGGCTAGATCTGCTGTCTAATTTTTGTTGGTATCTGGCACTACTGAAGAGATCCCCCCTCACTTTCTGTTTTAAAGACAAAGGTAGCAACACAAAGCTGACACAGATTGTATGTCTTCCCTCTCATGCTCTAAAATGTGTTTTTATAGCTGTTATGTTCATGTTAGAAAATGTTCACATAACATCCCAATTATGTTGTCACTGAGACAAGAAGTCTGGGTCACAAATATGCATGAATGCCTACCCTGTTTACCCTGAACATATGTTTAAATAAAATACCAGTAATTACTATTCATTTTATTTTTTATCATATTTTATTCAAGGTAAAGTGACTAAGTCTTTCTTAATTCCGGAGCTTCAGCAATTTTGGATTGAGCCAAACAGGCAAATCTCAGTTCCCATGATTTCAGCATCAGGAATATTTCAGTTCAAAGATGACAGCTTAACAAATCAATTGGTACTAAAGATATTTCTTAGCGAAAAAGATTTCCTGTTGCTTATCCTACCAACTAATGGAAATACCCTTGAGAACATTGAATCTTCAATCACAAGCCAAAACTGGCAGACTTTAAACTGGCTAAATGGTTTATCAAACAGGTAAGCTTCAACAATACAGCAGTCTTGTGGTACATATAATTGTATCTAAAAACTACAAACTACCTTCTTTTTTCATTTTACAGATGCATCCATTTAACCATACCAAAGCTTGAAATAGAATGTTCATATGATGCCAAGGACCTTCTTACTAATATGAAGCTGTCCAGTCTGCTGCAAAAGACTGCACATTTTGGCAAACTGAGTAATGAACAAATAAATATTGGAAAGGTAATGTACTCTTTAATTTTGCTATTTATCCTTAACAACTTTGTGAATTACTACAACTTGTCAGAGAGGTGATTGCACTGATCTGGACCCTCAAGTTATGCTGTATGGAATAGCCAATAAAAGGAGGGGAGCACACCTAGGAAGTGTAGGCCAACAGCTGGCTTTTGGTTAGGCATAGCCCCACCAAACAAGCTAGAGCTGGATCTGTGCAGTAGGCACTGCTTTAAGATCACACTGTAATAGATCAGGGCTCATCAAAGTATGAGGGTGGTCCCACATAAGAAAAAGTGACATGTGACCCCCCCCCAGGGTGCAGAGTTTAAGTGAACTGCGGGTGACAGTGATAAGGAATAGGTCATCAGATTACAGTACAGAGGTCAGGGTTGGCTGTAGTCAGAGATGGATAGGATACAAGCCAAAGGTCAGGGAAGGCAGCAGACATGGATAACCAGGAACAATCCAGAGGTCAGAGAACAAGGAAATCACAAGGCTCTGTATTTACATGCAAGATTGGCTTTAAATTAGCAATGACATACAGAACAATAATCTTACCTCTACACATTAATTGTTTAAGAGATGGCATAAAATAATTTTGTAGTACATGCAAAGGAGGTACTAGATCTCCTTTTGTTAGGTTGTCAATGTCCAGGATTGTAAGCGACTGTAAAATTTATTACATTTAATTGGTTCGGGGAGAAGCATATCCCCCCCCGAACCCCCCCCCCCCCCCAGAAAAGACAAATTTTGTGATTACATCATAGGGTATCTTTCTGTCCCAAAGCTCTCCTCAGCAATAAAATTAAATATTAGCAAAACTAAAATTAATTGTATTTTTTTTTTATTATGGTTCACTGGTAATGGTTTGCCTTTGCAGTGCATTGTGCAGAAATGTATAGTGCTGCAGTCCTAAATAAATTGTTTTACTAAAACCACCTCTACAAGAGACATTAGCTATTGCTTTTCTCATTTTTAGACAGCTCCACACAATAAAGATGTATAGTGTAATCACTTGTCTACCAGCGCTGTTAGAGAGGGGGCTGGCAGACAGGGATTTTAAATTTTACAATAAAAAAGGGTAATATATTGTGTTTGTGTGACTAAAATGAACATTAGTGTATTTTTTTTTTGTTTTTTACTAAAAAATTTGCGTTTGATGAACATGTGTGCTAACATCATGTGACATTAAAACAATTGCGGCTACCGCCAGTTTATTCTCCAGTAAAAAGCAACTGTTTGGGGGTTTTAGTAATCTTCAGACCTAAATATGCATTTAATTTTAACATACCACAGTGTTCCAAATTATTATGCAAATAATATTTTTCTCATTTACCTAAATAACTGATGTAAATACCAGTCAGCATAATTCTCATGTTATCAACTATTAAAAGAACAATTAAAATTTTTTTGAACAAACCTCCCGTCCTAATGATAACAGTATTTTTTTTTAAACATAAAAAACTTACAATGCCCTGTTCCAAATTATTACGCACAGTAAGTTTCAAAACACTTTATAGGTTGTAAAGAACTGAAAATTGTCATTTGTTGTGTTTGCAGCATATTTACTGAAATCAAAAGCTATTTCAATCAAACTTTTAACAACATTTTAACTTTTTAAACATTTTAACAGGTCACGTTACATTTTAACATAGGACCCCTTATTTGATAGCAGCTTCACAAGTCTTGCATCCATTGAACTTGTGAGTTTTTGGACAGTTTCTACTTGAATTTGTTTGCAAGATGTCAGAATAGCCTCCCAGAGCTGCTGTTTGGATGTAAACTGCCTCCCACCCTCATAGATCTTTTACTTGAGGATGCTCCAAAGGTTCTCAATAGGATTGAGGTCAGGGGAGGATGGAGGCCACACCATGACTTTCTCTCCTTTTATCCCCATAGCAGCCATTGATGCAGAGGTATTCTTTGCAGCATGAGATGGTGCATTGTCATGCATGAAGATGATTTTATTACGGAGATCATAGTTCTTCCTTCTGTACCAGGGAAGAAAGTGGTCAGTTATAAACTCCACATACTTTGCAGAGGTCATCTTTACACCTTTGGGGCCCCTAAAGGGGCCGACCAGCTCTGTTCCCATGATTCCGGCCCAAAACATGACTCCACCACCGCCTTGCTGACGTCGCAGCCTTGTTGGAACAGGGTGGCCGTCCACCAACCATCCACTACTCTATCCATTTGGACCATCCAGGGTTGCACGGCACTCATCAGTGAACAGGACTGTTTAAAAATTAGTCTTCATGTATTTTTCTGCCCAGTGCAGCCGTTTCTGCTTGTGAGCATTGGTTATTGGTGGCCGAATAGAAGGTTTATGCACAGTTGCAAGACTCTGGAGGACTCTACACCTTGATGTCCGTGGGACTCCAGAGGCACCAGCAGCTTCAAATATCTGTTTGCTACTATGTAATGGTATTTTAGCAGCTGCTCTCTTGATCCGATGCATGGATCTGGCAGAAATCCTCCTCAATGTGCCTTTATCTGCACGAACCCGTTTGTGCTCTGAATCAGCCATGAATCTCTTAATAGTGCGATGATCACGCTTAAGTTTTCGTGAAATATCTAATGTTTTCATACCTCGTCCAAGGCATTGAACTATTTTACTCTTTTCGGCAGCAGAGAGATCCTTTTTCTTCCCCATATTGCTTGAAAATGGTGCTCTGCTTAATAATGTGGAACACCGTCCTTTAGTAGTTTTTCCTTAAATTGGGCTCACCGGCCAATCTAATTATCACAGGTGTCCGAGATTGTTTTCAGTGATCAAAAGAGCCCTGAGACACAATGCCATCCATGAGTTAAACTGAAAAACAAAATATTTAATCTTTGTGACACTTAACTAGAATTTGCATAATAATTTGGAACACGGTGTATGTGCAAACATGGAAAACAATTCTTAGCATATTATTAAAAAAAGAATTTCAACAGTTCACAAAATTCAAAGATCAACACATTTTAGAAATAGAGGATATTGAAAAGGCTGAAGCTCCATCTGCTACACTATATCTATTTTATGTACAATATTTCAGGTTATCCTTAAAGTATAACTAAAGGCAAACCTTTTTTTTTCTTTTCAAAACTGATAACCTGCCTATTTTTTAAGGCATCTGACTCGGAATAAAGAATCCATATTGTCTATTGTTTAGAAAAATGTATCATTAATATCCATAAAAGCCGGTAATTCCTCCATGATCATAATATCATTTATTATATTACCCATTTTGTCAAGGGAGGGGTTACAGTAGTCTTCGAATAAAATGGGATCAGTTGTCTACGTGTAGCACTACCCCTGAAGGGGCCATAGTAGAGTTTGAAAGTTTTTTCCAAATCAGTGCAAGGCTGTCAGGAACACAGCAACAATCTATCACTGTGGCTCAATAAACAGTCTAGGGTGTCTTTTTAGGGTGATGTAGAACACTCCGAATTAGATATTTTGCTAGGAGAGAATGACTTTCACCAAGTAGCAGTACAGGTAGACTTGAATAGCCCACAGTTCATAGCTGGGAACCATGAAGAAGAATAAGCATTAAGACAAGCTTGGGCAGAATATGGTTCATGGCTGAGGACCATGAATCAGCTTTAGCACACACAAAGAGGCTCTATTCACAAGATCCTGGTAATACACAGTCCAGAGGTGCAGCCTGCATTATTCAAGTTGCCATCACCCTATGTGGAAGAACAACATTCCAAGTGGTCAATTCAATAGACTCAGGAGGAATTGCTCCAAGTTGGAGGATTATCACAAACAGGGTGACATGTTGTAAAGAAGCGTTCATGAAACATAGCTGTGTTAACCGGTAGGTCTAGAGTGTTAATCGGTAGGTCTAGAATCCAGTACCAACATAACACAATGAGGTTCATCACAGGATACAATATAGCACATCGAACCATTTCCAAGATTATGCGCAAACATCAGCACATTCTTCGGCTTGACAATAATTAGCCCCAGGTCTCCCTCCAGCCCCTCAGGTGACCTTCAGGAGGGCTCTCACATTAAAAAATAGTTCAGCCCCAAGCAAGCTATCTCTGACTACCAAAAAGAAAGCTCATACTTTGACAATAGAACGGCATTTTCAAATGCAAGAAAAAAAGGCTGCCTCACATGTCTATCCATTACGCGTGGCCGGTTCAACATCACTGATCCTAGGGGCATTGTCTATTTTATGACATTTTACTACTTCTGTCACGGATTATGTTGTCTATGTGTTAACTTGCCCTTGTAAATTGTTATATGTAGGCAGCACCATACACCCCTTACACAAATGTATAGGTGAGCATAGGAGACTCATTAAAGATGGATGCGGCATTTTTACACATAGCGTCCCTCACATTTTTTACACAATCACAATAAAGACTATAGCTGTCTAGAGGTAAAGGCTATTGAACACATAGAAAAAAGGTATTTAACAAACAATGAGAGGTTGTCTGTCCTGTGTAAGAGGGAGACATTTTGGATCTTCAAGTTGGGATCCATGGCACCCAATGGTCTGAATGAGGATTTGGAAATCCATAGCATCATTTAATACTGACTACATCTGCATATTTATTTGACAAGTAAACTAATTTCTACATATACCTAATGGTTATATTTTATTTCTCTATATACTCTCTGCCACCAAGTATATGATTTTTGTAAATTATTCTTCTAAGGGATCTTTTGGAAATATTAAAAAAAACCCCACTTTTTAATATTTTTATTTATCACTTGATGTGCGTACTATTTATTGGGCCAGTATTCACCTTGTGATTCCATTAATGAATATGACACTCCAGAAAAAGCTTATAAGGGTTAATTGAATCTATTAGCCGTTTCTCACCTATAGATTGTACAATTCTTTTATATTGATATTGCATTTTGTTTTTTTAACGTGTTTGCAACAGGTCTTTTGTGTCCTTTTTCTGTAATATATGTT